CTCTTCCCACCGACGAGCACTTTCCCACCATGACCCTCCAACCATCCTGGCAGATGAAGAGAAGCCATTTTAACTCCTGCCAATCTGATGTGTGCAAGTTGACTTCTCTCCTATGTTAAACATATCCAGAGCAGTCCAGCCCTGCCTTATCCGGTGATTTAACACAGATGTTTTTATCACAAATTGTGACAATGGTTTGTGTAAAACTTCGAACGGACCTCCAGGCCCCCAGTAGGGCCTCCAGGTCAGGCTGGTTAGAGAGCAGAATTTACTTTGCAGTCCCTATATGCTAATTTCCTGGTTAGGTGACCTACAAATAACACAAGCTTGAAACGTGGAAGTTGGGGATTTATCGCTGTGTTTTTGATTTTCCTGTTGCTACTCAATTTTATTTTATTTTTTTTTGTAAGAGAGCAATTACAGCTTGCAATAACTTCCCTTTCTTCAGGGATCCCTGCCACACGTTTGATGAATACATGCTTCTGCATGTTCAGAAGTCCTCGTTGTGGATATTAAATAAACCCAGTTCTGAAAGTGCTGGTTACTTGGCTATCGAGGAATGGCTTTCTGTCAGGAAAAGAGTACTTTTTTTTTTAGGATTTTCACTGAAGTCACCCTGAGATTTTTTTACAGGTATAGTTTTCCAGTATTGGTAGCTCTACAGCTAGTAAGACACACAGAGGAAGAATAATTTCAGAAAGATGTAAATGATCTTGAAGGAATGTGTAAAAATGCTCTTGCTGCCTGTTGAGACTAAAATACAAAGCAAAAATATGTACAAATACAAATGTTGTATGGTGCATTGCGTATTCTTTTGAACATTAATATACCAATACAAATCAATATTTGAATGCTCTGATCTATGAAACAAACTGTTAGGAAAAACATCTAATGTATTAGACAGTTATTGCACATGAACAGAGTATTTTTAGAGGATAATAAACACCAAGATTTCAAAGCAGCTTAATAATGTCTCTAGTGTCAGAGAATGAGAAATTCCCTCAATGCCGCTAAGCTGGACTTTGTTAATTATAGCAGGTGATCTTACGGCTGGCATATTTAACTGAAATAATTATTGTAATGCCTATTTGTTAGCCTGGAATTCTGGATTCACTATGCATTGATGTTTGACTGTCTCCGGGGTGGGGTTGGAATGAACTCTTGCTTCTTTAACCTGCGTGTGCAGCTGACCATGCTACGTAGCTCCAGGCAGCCAAATCCAGAAGAACGACAGTACTCATCATGCCTCTCACCTAGATCTAGACCAAGGAGTTACACTTCAGAGAAGACAACTCCTTGCAAAATGCTCTCCAACAACTGTATTTTGATACAACATAAACCGACAAATTTGTGTGAAAATTCTTTGGGAATCGTATAATACATCTTCATCTGCCCGTCAGCTCTCACTTGATTTGTGCCTCTGCCAACAGTTTGCACAGTGGTAACGTAACAGGTAAATATTTATGAAGTACTTGTGATAGCTGTTAACCACTTCCATGCAATTCTCTAAGGGAAGGTCTATCACATCGGTACACTGAATACATTCCGGGGTTGAGGAAAAACATTTCTTCAGCTTTTGTGGAACCAATAAGCAAGCTCAGGAAAGTCAGACAGCTGCTTCTGAAGCAGACCGTGTTTCAAATCGAGATTTGCTTGGTAGGAGGAACTTGAAATGCGTCTCTCACCAAAAGATTTCCAAATAGAAATGCAGTAACATGTTAATTAGAAAATTCTCTACATAGCAAAAGGCTCCCAATGAACAATTACTTTATATTTCGCATAAGCCTTTTCTAACACAATCTTTATACAGGGAAAAGAAAATACGGAAGAAAGAACAACAGCACAGAAAACATCATATAAAATGTAGTGTTTGAGTATTTCCCAAATAGTGGTTACAACTTTCTGTGGAAATCTGCCTCAGACCTTTATCACAAACCAGAATAAAACTAAACAAACCTGACAGATGACATAGTCATTCTCTCCCGGAACAAAAACTGCAAGATATGGGAAAAATTTTAAATGACAGATTATTAGAGAACCATCACTTGATATACACGATTAGCATTGTATCAAGTCATATAGAAAATTCAAGCACTTTTTAATACATTCTCAATACAGGTCTTTTCTTCTCACTGGGGAAGCCCAGATGCAACATTTGATACTGAAGATGCTGTTCCAAGGCAATAGACCGGATTGACTGGGCTGACTGAAGGCAAATAAAGGGAAAACCCACTAATATAAATACTCATTGTGTATAAAGCAGCTTTGAGTCCTGCCATTAACACAGAAAGCTTCACAGTGTTCACAACACCAGCTCTGCAGCCCTACACCTACTGGTGCAGCCAGCCACCATCAACAGTCCTGTGCCCAGAGTGCCAAACGTAGAAATGCAATTTATGCCAATCCATAAACTCCCATCCCAAACTGAACAGGGGGTGGGGAGCACAGGCAGCTCTTAACAGCTCCCGGACAACAGCACAGTAATTTGATTACTAAACCAACAGCTGCGTTAATGCAGCGATGGAATCAGACTTCAGGGGATGAAACAAGTTAACTCTTCCCAGAGCCAGCGACCAGAGCACCTAACGCTCTCCACGGTGGCACGTGCCCTTTTAAAACAACAATGAAGGAAACTCTGTGGTTATAATTCATTTGTGCGCGTGCTCCTCCACAGAGTTTTGTAGACAAAAAGATCAAATACAATACATACATTTCTTTCACAAGTTGTTGTGTACAGAGTACAGCACATAGAACTGAGATGTGAAATATTTACAGCTTTAACATTAGTTAAAGGCTTGACCTTGCTTTTCTGAGAAGAACTGTCAAGCAGCTGACAAGGCCGCTCAGATTGTTTCCTGGAGCATGGCATCCAAGTTCAGACTGTAGGAAATCACATTATTTTGATTTTTTTTCCCGATTATTTTTTCAAATGGGTAGCTGACACAGTTCTACACAAAGAGACAGTTCTTTTACATAGTCCTGGATGTCCAGCCCTTAAACAGTCCTTCAAAGAGCTCTGCACTTTCCACCACAGAGTGTGCTTTTAGCACTATATTAAGTCAGTTAAGTGTTGTTACTCACTTCACAGCCTCATGCAAAACTACAGAAGCCAAGCTAAGACACTGTCTCAAACTAGGAGACCTACTAAACAGCATGAATCAAACCCTGATCTCTGCTGACACTCCTGTTAGCAAAGCAGGCTAAACTGCAGCCACTAAGGACTGCATCTCACATTAGGACAACTCATCACATCCTTCAACGTTAACTCTAGTGTATTGTGATGTGGTTATGACCATTTTAGACTCACAGACAATGCTGAGCAGCATAACTGTAGTTAACTGTTGCAGTGTCTGTAGTCTTAATTATAGTCTAAGAATCTCCCCAGACATTTCAGTTCAGCTGAAGGTAAGCCTGCAAGCAACCTGCGCATTAATACTACTACTACTACTAACAACAACGATAACAGTATAGCTAGAATAAACCTTCAGAAATCATCTCATCTACCCTCTTACTCTCATATTTTTCAAAATCTCAAAGCTGTTGAGCAAACTGATACGAGAGGTGCTTTTTTATTGGCATAAGGATAATTATCGCATTAATTCTTCGCCTACCAACAGGCAAAACGTGCATGTGGGGGGAGATATTCACTGAAGTAGTTACTTCCCTTTGAAGCTCACAGCAAGTCAGAAAACTTTTTAAGAGTGCTTTTCCTCCTTGCTTGTTTCTTTGTATAAGGCACTGCAGTCTGTTTTACAAAATCATACTTGTTAAGTGTCATTTACCCTAGTTTTTCTAGAAAATCCTTTAGGAATCTCAGACTAACAGTCTGAGCTCCACACAAAGTGAATCATCAGTGACTTGCAAGCTTTAAAAATAAGATTCTTCTAAATCAGCCAAAACCAGAAAACTAATCTTTCCCTCCCAAAAACACTTGAAACAAATTGCCAATTACAGCAATTAAAATAATTTTTCATATACTAAGCTTGCTGTCTCTTGATTTCTAGTTAATTAGCTCCCCAGCCCTGAAGAGGTTTCCTGCAGTAAATAATTTTAAAGTAAACAGAGATGGATAAAAAAAGCAAATGCTTCTCTGAATGCCCCTCTCTTTTTCAAAAGGAAAAAATCTTTGCGTTTTTGTAGAGAGCCACTAACTTGTGAGTTTTCCAAGCTGCAAATTAACAGTCCCTCCCCAACTCCCAGGAAGGATCTGAGGATTACAGTTTGTAAAATGCATTGAAGATGGAAAGGCCACTGTGAGGTAGTATCACAGCATTCCTATTACCTAGCTTAGATCTCTGTCTTTTTGCAGAGCTACTAGAGCTTTTTTAACCCAATTTCACAAAGATTTCAACTCAACCTTTTCTGAAAGAAGAACTATAAATAACCTCTTAGATTAAAACCCTTAACAGCTGAGAAGGCTGGAAAGGGAGGTAGGTATTATCCACCTTTCAGTACCACAAATTGGGGCTGGAAGGGCTTAATTACCAAGATATACTTAAGAACACGCTAAGGGCCGCTATAAAAATTACTCCAATTACAGCAGCTCCACAGACTTCGCTCCACCTGGGAGAGAGGAAACCATCAGGTCTGTCTCTTTCCACATACCTCTTCTGTACCTCATGCTAATAAAGGGCATCACGAACGATCAGCAGCTTCACATCACGCAACAATTCTGCTGCACGTGTAGAGTCCTTTCTCCCAGACCGCTGAACAGAACCTCTCCCACCACTCAAGCTGAAGATTTGGCTTGTTTTGTTTTCCACTTTGAAATCTCACAGTGGAGACACACTGTTGCGTAACCTGAGGCCACAAAATAATTTCAGCCAATGTATTAGCTCGGAAGTGTCTCAGGCAGAAAGAGATACTTTTAACCCATGATTTGGATTTGATTGTGGAATTGATGATTTCACCTGAATTACACACTTGCTGTCCTGAAACGGGGAATTCAAGGTTTTCCTTATGAGTTTGTCTGTGATGATGCATTCTTATTTATGATTTTTATAATTACAAATAAGCATGTAATTCACAATGAGTGTTCAGTAAAATAACTTCCGTTAACAGTCAAGAAGTCCTCATGGTTTCAGTACTCCTTTGCTAAGCTCTTTGCAATGGTGCTCAACTGGATATTTGAAGTTCCTTCATATATTGTACCTGAAATCAGAAAAAAATAAATTAGAAGGCTATAAAACTACATTGAGTGTATGATGAGAGACCAAGATATTGTTCTAACGGTCCAGTTAGAACATTTACAATTATGAAGTGAATCAAGTTCTAGAAACAGAATTATTATTTACATAAATGTTCATATTTTATTATCTGAAACAACTAAAATACTCTTCTGCTGGTACAACATAATGACAAGCCATTTTCCTGAAAAGCAATTCCTAAATAACCAACAAAAATCAAGTATTTACAAATGCTATCAGCAATAAAAGTCAAAGGGTAATATTGTTAGAAATGTCAAACTGTTAGGTCCGGGGATTATACAAGGAAGTCTTGAAAATAAACTCCACACAGATTCTGCTCTTAAAACCACAGAAAGTTTTTTTCCTTTTTTTTTTTTTCAACTGGAATTTTCCTAATAGAATGGGACACAATGTGTATGTATTTTATTGGTATTTAATGAAACACTTTAACCAGCCTTACATACACAGGTGTTTAAACCTAAAGTTTTACCTTCTCGTATCTGAACCTTTGAATCAGTGTTGATTACAGCCTCATGGAAAAAAAATCTTAGAAAAAATCGCCAGTCATTCACCCCCAAACTTTATTACTACTGACGCTACAGGAAATACTTGTTAAGAAACCATCACTCACCTATCTTGCAGTCACGATAGTACTTTTCTATTGGATAATCTTTTGTGAATCCAACGCCACCCATCCACTCAATACATTTACTAGTTGTCAGTGTTGCAACCTAGGAAAATAGTTTCAGAGTTACAATTTCAGGATTTGACTTCATGCAGGTGGTAGTAGATTTTATTTTCTGTAGCTATTTAAAGCAAAAAATCCCAGCAATTCTTTAATGGCCTATTTTACATTCCATACACAGACAGAGAACAAGAAACAAGGTAAAAGTACACCCATAGATCTCACAGCAAATCATGAATTACAAGATACTCACTCAGTAGCAGAAGAAATGTTTAAACAGCAGTGAAATAAATCCACTGCATAAAGAAACTGCAGGTTACCTCGGCAGCGTAGTATTTGGCCATGCTGGCCTCCTTTATGAATGGCCTTCCTGCTTCTGCAAGACGCGCTGCGTTGTAGGTCAGCAACCTCGCCGCCTCCAGCTGTGTGGCCACCTGGGCTATCTGGTGTTGCATCCCCTGTAATAACCACAGTGCAAGTCAGGCAGAACCAGTATCTAGGACTCAACTGGAATTTCTAGCAAGAACCATTCTTTTAGCCAAGGAACACGCCTACACTCTGAAATAGAAATACAAAATCTAGATGGACTAGTAATTCTGCACATCTCTGCATCTATGACATCGACGCTGGAAAACCTCTGAGCCTTCAAAGTCTTTTTAGGAACTGCACTCCCATTTTGTCTTTCCCTTTTCCTGGATTCGGGAGTACTGGGGAACTTCTTGCCTGACTGGCCAGACAGGAGGGTCCAACATGAACCTATGTGCACCATGAATATCAAGGAAAATTTCAGCCAAATTTTAACATTCTCCTCGGCTTCACAGAGACGCAGGTAGGTCAAAGCTCTGAGCTTAACCAAAAAAAACTTGAAAAAAGTACCTCTTAAATAAAGTGGAGAAATAGCAAGGTGAGAACTACTTCTTGCTACATCCCATAACCATGAGACAAGAGCTAGGAGCAGCCTAAAAGACTAGAGAATGTGACTGATGAACGAACTCAAAGGGAAGGAAAACGGTGATGAAGCTCACCTCCAAATGCTAGGTATTACTGAAGAATAGGTTCATTTCAGGAGACTCAAACATTATGATGACTGAAAACGAACATTTAGTTGTCTAACTTGCTCCTAGAACACAATGAAATCTTTCATCTTATTAGAGCATTAACACTGCTCCCTAAAATTTGCAGAAATATATATGCAGGTCAAAATAACAAAACGATTCATCAATTATAAATTCCATTTCCCATTCAAAAGACGCAGTTCCAATAGTTTCCTAGCTATCTGTGGGTGCTTCCTAAAATTTGTATAAATTATGAGTAGCGCTAATGTTCTTTCCCTTCACCCAAGATGTAGGTTTCTTTTAAGAAGAAAATTACTATAGTAATTACAATTATATATCTTCCTTATTAAACTATACATCATTTTTGCAACAAAGAGTCTTTTTCATTTTAAGATACAGATATTATCATGGAAACTAAACGCCTTTGTGTAACACAGGAAATCTAATAATTCAATCAGTTTTCCTCATCTTCTTATAATTTCTAGTGTCTTCAGAAAAAGGCCTTCCCCTGCACCTCATGAAAGGGTGTAAAAACTGGAACACATTCAACATACTGTGATATTAAAATCAGAAGAGAAAGGAGTTCCATGTGTATTATTTTCAAAGGCAGTGAACTTACTATCAAGGAAAAGGAGTTATGTTAACAACGTTTTGAAATTTTAAATGATTTATACGGTACTTGCAAAAGCACAGAGCACTGAGTTTGTATATTTTACATGGCAGATAAATGCTGATCTGAAATTATTTTGAACAATTCTCAAATATTGGGAAGTAGAGACATGACACAAGGTGAAGCACAAATGATGCAAATCAGATTACTCCTTTTACTGACTTCATCTACTGCAGTAACTATCACTCTCCTGGAGGAAACTTCCCATGTGTTCATTAACAAGTACCTGGAAATCAAATATGCTCTTCCCAAACTGGACTCTCTCCTTTGTATAGGGAATCGTGTGGTCAAAACACCCCTGTGCCAGTCCTAACATCTGTAAGAAATAAGACATATTGAGGTGAATTAGGAGAAAAAAAGCCCCAAACTTTGAGGAATAGCCTATTCCATACTCTTCCATTCCTGAAAGAAGCCTCTTGCTACAGGCAAAATATTTGTGAACATACTATCACTAATTTTTGAACAAAAGTATGGGTCAAATGTGGTTGCACAAATATGAAGTGTTTCTGGAAAAATTCTTAATTACATGGGAAAATTACTGTAAACTAAAGATCTATACATTCACATTACACTATTAAAGGAAAAATAAGTTGAATGATTATTCTAAGCTATTTCAATAATAAAAATATCTCATTTTATAGAAGACACTAGATTGTCAGAATTAGCAATTTATTTTAGAAGTTAGAAAATCAGTATAGTGGAAGAAGAGATAGCATTTGTTCCAGTATTTTCAATTAAAAAACCAAAACAGAACAATTTTAGAACACCCATTGTCTTTTCACACACTCTCTTCACTCAGCACTCCACATTTATAAAGAAGTAACTCGCATCTACCCTACTGTCTGATTTGTTAGCCTAGAGAAACATTAAGAACTCTGGAAAGTAAACTAGTTTGATGTTTTTTTAACGATCAAATTTTCAGAAGTTCCAAACAAGATCGTAAAGAAAGGACCCTGCCTTTCATATATCTTGGAATATACAGTTATTAGTAAATAAGATCAGTTGTTTCATGATATAACTACCATTCATCTGAACGCATTCTTTCTACCTAGTTTCTTCCCTAGGAAAAACAAAGATAGGAAATTAGATTAGGAGAAGGATCAAACAAGAGGGGGGAAAAAAAAGGGAAATGAATGGCATGAAGAACTATCAAAAAGCAAGGTAACAGTATGTGGTAAAATTGGAGTCTCATAAAACTTTCCCAAGTCAAGCCAGGATCGTACAACGTGGCAGTCAGCTGTCACATCAGCAGCGCAGTGAAACTACCTTTGATGATGTACAACAGGGTATGGGTATTTTTGGACAGACCTACATATTAAATTGAAAGCCAAGGGCCCCAAGAAAATAAAAACATGACTGTGAGTGGATTCAGATGTCTACTCCTTAATCATTTAAGATTCTAGAAGAAAAAAAACACCACAGGAAAATAAGTTTGTGGGAAAATAACAGAAGAAAATAATGCAGTCTGCTGCTCATCAGCCGTATTACCAGATTCGTTGCCTTCTTATGTAAACTCAAACAGATGAACCAAGTCTATCAACTTATATTATCACATATAACAACACATGCAGCTACCCTGCGCTAAAACTATCTGAAACTGCTTTCACAGCCACAATTACATTTTATAAGACGTTCATTATCTTTTAAAACTATTACTACTGCAAAACTGAATTCAATACTACAGGGCTTTAGAACTGCTCTTCTTGTCCATTCAAGTGCATTTCCCTTCACTTGAAGGTGCCAAGAAAGTAGTAACTAAGATATAACAACTTCCTGACCTTAACTTTTAATTAGGTTATACGTGTAACTTGGAGTAATTAAGAGTAAAATCCAGACCATGTATTTTACTGCCAGAACTTCTATATTATTTATATCTCTGGGAACAACAGGGCCCACAGCTCTAGTTTTTAAATGCCATATCAGACTAAGTTTAATCACAGATAATCCTTCAGAAATGACGGAAAAGCCAACCCATTTAGCAGCATAGTATACTGCCATGTGGAAAATCTAAATTTCATGGGGACTATTACTTCTGGTTTGTTTGCAAATTAGGGCAAAAGATAAGGGATATTGGTAGTACAGACACACTACACCCTATATAGCACAAGTACATCCACAACAAAGTAGAAACAAATAAAAGATTACTTTCAAAAGTAAATTAAAAGTAATAAAAGCTTGCCATAAGTCATTTTATTATATGGCTGAACCTGATTTCCACTGAAGTCAGCAGCAATCTGAGATCTAAACTGAATTTACAACAAAATACAACATTTCAAAATAACTCCAAGGTCAGCAAATATTTTCCCTTAATATGCTATAAGATGCAATTTTCAAACACAACAATGAACTAGGATGCTTCAGCTATAAAAAAATCATGCTTATCTTGAAAATAAGTTAACTTTTAAAAATAAGTTGTTATTGAAGTCTCAGTGTAAGGTCACATTTGCCAATCCCATACAATCACAACTGGAAGCATTAACATTACACATTTCAGTGTGTTATATTTTTGTAAAATAAATTTGCATAATGTAAGATAAAAATGTTGATATATTTCAGCAGCAATAAGTTAATCACCAAAGACAAACTAATTGCCATTTAATGTTTCTAAATCTATTGCTTATGCCACTGAAGGAGAATTTTACCATTTACAGTTGTTTCAGTATTTTACTGTAACTTAGGTACAGGAATAGTGACATCTAGTGGCAATTTAGTTTTTAATAAAGTATCACAGAATCACAGAATGTTATCTTCTAAACAGTTTAGCCTTATTAGCTTTAAATATTTTGTAAATTTCAATCCCAATTCGAAGTTTTGTACTAGTTGTACTCAGTATTAAGCAAAATTACGCACCTGTGCAGCAATACCTATTCTGCCAGTATTCAGCATTCCAATTGCATGCTTATAGCCTTGTCCAACCTGCCCCAGGATACTGGTCTCAGGAACCTAAAGAACAAAACCACTCAATTATTCCTGTTCTGTTCTGCTTTGCAATTGCTAGTACGGTTCACAAGTGAATCAGTGTACATGTTTTATTTTTAATGTTCCTCATAAGTGAAGGCATAGAACATAAACCAGACGTGATTCCTAGAACATCTGATTAGAATATTCCCTGGTACATCTGATTATAAACTAATGATTGAGAAAAACTGTATCAAAATTTAAGAAACCAACCCCTCAAGACTTTTGTGAAAAAACAGAGAGGAAAAAGTTAAAATATGCCAAACAATCAGTATCTCTAAGGAAAAAAAAGACCCAACTGTGAATTTAGCTAACATTCTTTCCTTAGATGTGGTCAGGCTCCAATTATACACAAAATACACTTCAATAGCCAAACAACTTGCAATACCTTAACGTTTTCAAATGTTACTGGGCAGGTAGAAGACGCTCTGATTCCAAGCTTGTCCTCCTTCTTCCCCACATGTAGTCCCTCTGTGTCGCGATCTACTATGAAGCATGTAATTCCTCTGTATCCCTAGGATTAATTAAAAATTAATCAAGAACTGTTTTTTTTAGATTAATATCACCAAATGGTGGTCTAAACATCTCATTCCAGTGCTGGAATTTTATACCTGCTGAATACTATATTCCTCAACAAAACAGTGGCACCGTCACCTGTTCCCTCTGTGTCTGCTAATTATGGTTTGACAAAGGCCAGTGATGCCTTCCTATTGAAATATTCCATGTGGAAAACAATCAGAACAACCTTAAAAGTTCTCTAGATAAGACAGGGGACTGGTATCACATACATGAAACAGACAGGAGCGTAGTGCCTGTCTGTACTGGAAATGACTGGGAAGGCCAGTTATTGCCATGCAGTGAAGTTGTTGTTGAAGCTGTTGGAACATATGTCACAGTCAAACAACGGACTGCTAACACCCAGAATTGGTGCACACAGTCACCTTGTGATTCCAGTTTGCAGAGCATTGACATCACTGTCTCTTGACTTTAGAGAAGCAGTAGGAATATAATCAGTAGTCTGAATTCACGATGGTGTTATCAAAAAGCTCAGAGTTGACTTGGTATTCAGACAATGACTTGGACAGGACACTAAATAATGCACGTGACAACACATAGATTGTATCCCCAATCTAAATTCTGGCATCTCCTACATACAGGCCCTACAATCGTCACGTCTTTGAAGCCTTAGACTAGATTCTTGAAGCACAGAACAGTGATTCTTCACAGCTGTCACCTTTTCTTTTTCCCTCTGTGTAATTCTTATTCCCAACGCTCTCTCCTTTCCACCACTCATTCTTGCTTCCTCAGCATTTCCCCCAGCCAGAACCACAGTAGTGTCTCCTATGGACCTTGTAGTACGTTGCATCACACAGAAACGTGAGGTGTTCTTGGCCATGTTTCCATCTCTTTCTGCACCTAACGTCCACAGCACCTCCTCTCACTACAAGGGTGACACTGAGAAGCAGGAAAAGTCCTGTGGTTCTTCCAGAAAAGTTGTGAAAGAGAATGCTGCTGTTTCAGTCTTACCTCAACGACAGCCCATCTCACCAAATGGGAGCTGCTAGTGGAGAGTGCACATTTCAGTACACGATTCTACACTGGTCTGTTCTCTCACTTATACTGATGTCAGCTGTTATTCAATCTTTGAGCAGCACTGACTTTTAATCCCCCTCCTGAATATTTAAAAGCAAATTTCTAACTTTAAGAAGACAATGTATTACATATTTTTAAAACGTTACACTAATACAGAACCAACTCCAGATTACATGGCAATGCATAGCAGTTAACAAAGATAGAAACTGGCTTATCAAATGTATTTTCATTGTATGCAGTACTCAAATCACCCACCAGCTTGCGAAGAAATGAATAAAAATTCAGAAAGCAACACAATCTTCAATTGTTTGATACAATGAAAGAAAAACCCCTCTTCTTATTTAGTCAAAACCTGAAATTTTAATTTTAAAAATAAATATCTTCGAGTTAAGTTTTTAAGAGAGAGATGCTGAAATAAGTTTTAAAAAAATAAATAACAGTTTTAAACAATTTACTTTTCTACTTGATTATAACTACCATTATCAGTATAGTATGTTTTAAAGCCTGCAGTTGACTTTTCTGAATCTACTACCTATAACCAAATCGGCGACAAAACTTGAAAACATCCATACTCAGGTATATTATTTTTTCTACCTGAATATACTTTGCTGTTGTAGTCCTGTTAGTTTTCCAGTGCATGTAGTCTAAGCTCTATTTTGCCTTTTAAAAACAGCAACTTGTCAGGTAAGTCAAAAGGGTCAGAAAGACTTAGACTATCCGTTCTTCCATCACTCAGGATGATACCGATGCATGCTGTGCTCTCCATCTAAGCAATTAGGATTTTGACATTTTTATTTTCCCTTGTGGGAGGAATTTCTTAAATTGCTCAGCAAGTTCTCAATTTTTTGTTGGGAAATATTTTTCAAGGCTTGCTGTCAGCTAGGAAAAAGTTCAAAGAATATTAACCTTTAACATCAGGTTATTAATATAAAATCCATAGTTTCATATATAAGCTGTCACCGAAATGCAACTACTTTTCTGCAACTTACTAAGGAGGGATCTGTATTTGCCATCACAAAGAAAACTCCTGCGTGTTCTGCTAAGCTAATCCACATCTTTGAGCCATTGATAACATAGTAGTCTCCCTTCTTTTCCGCCCGAGTCTTCAAAGAAAAAGCATCGCTGCCAGATCCGGGCTCCGAAAGACAGAAACTGCCTATCTGTCAAGAGAAGGGAAAAATTCAGGGTTTTTTTTACTAAACATACAGGCACAACATGTACCAAAGTCTGCAACAAAAGTAGTTACACACAAGCACAAGCCTCTCAAATTCAAACATTTTAAACCATTGCATCGAAGTAGCTAAGTTTCAGGTATGGAGATTAAGAATAGAAACACTATGTAATTATGTCTCTCAGTCAACTGCTTTAAAGTTCTTTTCCACAGTAAATTAAATTTTAATGAAACAAATAAGCACCTTTCCACTTTTACCTCTCAACTACTGATGACAGGATGCATCACCATCACCACAGATCTCAGCTTGAACCAGTGTTTCAAAGTTCACACATATTTGCCAATGCTGCAGTCACCCATTCAGTTACTGCAAAAACCCACCCCATTAACATTACTTAACTATTAAAAATTATAATTTAGTAAAGTGAGACTTTGACTCACTGTATCTTTAGCGACTCTGGGCAAGTAAGTTCTCTTTTGTTCTTCTGTTCCATACGTGGTGAACAACCTATTCGTTAGTGTATTTTGGAGTTCACATAAAAGAGCTACAGCTGCATCAACTTTGGCCAATTCTTCCACCACCAATATGGTTGCAAAAAATGAAGCTCCAGTTCCTCCATATTCTTCCCCGAGCTCAATACTCATCAGCTGAAATGTAAAAGACGCAATTGTATCGATCTGTTAGTTCCTGTCAACAACCTGTTAGTCCAAGCTGATACTTTAAATAGATTAAAATAAAAACCACAGAACGTATTTCCAGATCCTTCCCCAAAGACCTGTGTTCCTTCAATACTCTTAACAAACTAACAGTTCTTCACAGAAGCTGACAGTCAATTCGTGCAAGAAATAACTAACATGAGCAGTATGCAGGCCAATCATCACGCTAATTTGATTACATTTTCCAGAACAACTGTAATCTCAACAGAAGTCTAGTGTTTAGAATTGTCATTATATAAACTGACATTCTAAACACAGACAAGCTTTTGGGTTGATAGCAGGAAAGGCTAAAACTGAATCAAGGAATGATCAACAGGATATCTGCAACACAAGTCCCTGTGGTTGCCCAGTAAGGACACAGAGGACTCCTGATACCCTCTTCCAGCAACACTTATCAGAGCCATGGAGGTTCTAGCATTGTATGCAATTATACTTATCCAAATTGAAAACAAAACAAACAAACAAACAAAAGATGGGGGGAGATAAGGAAGTCAAAGACAAGATGAAGAATATGATATGGGAGTGCGAGAGATGGAAAGAATATTACAGGAAAAAATGGAGAGTGGTAACACAGTAAAAAAGGGAAAGTTGCCCTGCTGATGATAAATCCAAAATTTGTAATGATTCATTAGTTCATTTGAATTATATCCCTCAATCTTTTAATCTAAAAATCTGAAAAGCACAGTTGGAGATTCATAAAATGATATAACTTTCTGAATAAAAGATTAAGAAAAAGCGTGCAGACCCCTTGTTCAAACAATCCCTGTATTACAGAGTCTTCCATTTTCGAATTCTCATCCATTTTTCGCACCAAAGGTGCAACTCGCTCCTGAGCAAATTTTGTCACTGTAACGAAGAGAAGAAAGACTGTAAGTATTCCAACACCCTACTTGAAGACCAACATAACAGCAATATGGTACTTCTGACAGGTTATGCACGTATTCCTTGGCTCTCCCAGACAAGTTAATAAAAGGACAAAAAGTTGCCCAGTGGAACAACGCAATGTGCCACAAGGCTCAATTATAATTTCTTTCTGAACTCACCTACAACCCTCTAAACCAAAACGAATACTTCCTCTAAATTCAGAAACTCTGAAAGCATCTCAGCAACACTTACGTAACGTTACTTGACCAAGAAAATTATAGAAAATATTTCAAATACACTCCTTGTTCTTTTAGCTGTGGAGAAATAATGAAAATTGGGGAAATGGGAGAATATTGTCCCCCGAAAGTTCAGCTTATATTTTACACAACTGCTACCTCAGATTAGTGCTTTGAGGTGATAAGACAGCTGCTGTTCCCAGGAACAAAGTGTGCCTGGAATGACAAGGTCTGCACCTGGCCTGATGGAATATGTGCATATCCTTGAGACTGGGAGTAGAGTGGTACCAAGGCTCATCCCTGTTATCCAAGACAAAGAGTGTCCGGCGAAGATAACATCAAGAAAGAGGGATCCCAACTACTTCCTCAGCAGTAAAGGTGAGATCGTGCCCTGAAGCTGAACTTTGCTCATGATAATGACATTATAATATGACTAGAGTCACTCAAGCTCCACCTGAAGGTAAAGAAATAGTATAAAATGGTGAAAGAGAAGGGGGATGTCGGGGAAGAGACCTCCATTGAAACATCTGGGATCAGTCCACAGGCTGGACCTCTCTTCCCCCGCCCCCAACTAGGGATGCCTATTGGGTAAGAGCTCTGTGTTATGCGTGTTTACTTACTAACACCTTGCAGCTATTGAGTAGCATCACTGATCAGTTCTGGTTTTATATTATTCCAAATCAAATCTGTTCTCACAGTCAGTCCCTATCACCGGCTGTCTCTGAATCTGTATCCTGTCACGAGCATCAGTAATAAAATTTGTTATTTTAATATAAGTTTCCAGACACTTTATAATTGATATAATCCAAGGGAGGATGATCCATTGCGCCGCTGGCGGGGTCCCTGAACAGGTCAGGCAAACACCCTCCAACTTAGCGGGCTGCCCAGGGCAGGCAGGCGAGTCGGGTACAAGGGTCTCGTCTTTAAATCTGCAGTTTGGGAAGATGGTCTCAGGCTTTAACATAGGCTATTTTGAGTGCACAAAGTCCTACACATAAGACTGTTTCTGTTTAACTGGAGCCTTTTATAAGCTCTCCCAGATGTGCAGGTCCTCACTCTTTTCACCTCTGCTCCGAGGATTCCTTCGGAAACAGTCTTCTTCGTGCAGGCCTGGCTGCATCGCAGACACATCACATCTGTCACTGGTCCAGGTGTACCCGAAATCTCTGAAAACCAGCTAGAGTAGTTAACTGAAGCTGAACTAAACACTTTAGGAAAGGGCACGAGTCAATGCCAGGCAACTTCACTGCTACGATGGCAACAGTTTTAAACAGCTAATATTTATTTATGCAGCGTACACTGCACTGTGGTATGTGGAACTGTGCTATGGTAACAGGGAAAAAAGAACATGATGTTATTTTCTCGTGAACTAAAGCAGTTTTAACATTAACTATAATTAAATAATGAAAAGAAATTTAAAGCTAAAATTTCTCTTCTGATCAGACATTTCTGAATTTCAACCACACAGATAACAGGTACCCATATTTTTCAGCATCGCCTCCTCTTCGGTGAATGTTTGAAGTGGAGCACAGACAACTCCATTGCTGGCTAGATTTGGCATAAGTTCTGATTTGGAGGATCTGAAGACACATGGAGAAGTCCTCCAAGGAGTCAAGCACGCTGGAAAATTTCTTTTCAGCTGTTGATAATAAACACAGAACATGCAAACAGTTAAGAGAATTTGTATTTGTATATTTGTACATTTGACAGCAATACACAATTTTACCCAGTGTTTTCATTCAGTAAATGAATAGGAAACTTACATTTGATGTCTAGTTTGAAAGTTTTTTGAGAAGATATAACCCCCGCAGTGTCCTAAAAGAAAATATCCTTTAATTGCTCTTCTTTTAACCCCAGGCAATTTTCTTTCTGGAAGTTTGCTAACACAATGTTATTCTAGAAAGTGTTCACAAACATTAATGTTAGTAAATTTTAGTGTGTACAGCACAATAAACCCTGCTGACAGTATTTTTTTTCACAGATGATTTTCAAGTCTGCTGAAATATTCATAGTAGTAAGTGTATATTTTGATAGTATTAATATCTTCACTAACAAATATTATAAGAGTCAATGTCAAATAGATATACGAACATTTTTTACAGAAGACCTGTCAACTTTAATGATGGATTTAGCTTTCTCCCTGGTTTTCAAAGGACCAGCAACTCCTGTTTCTAAAGCAATTTGATAGCACTTCATCTGGCTTATTGGTGTTTTGCTGTGAAAGGGCATAACTTTTAACAGCACTGTGGATTTTTGTATTTAAACTGAGTTCTTATCCACCACTTAACAATTTTTGGAATAAGTACACATTTCATAGACAAAGTCCTGGCATTTGAATGCCTCTGTATAGTTAATTTCTGTATAGTTAGTCTAAAGCCTATAGTTAGTATGTTGCTAGTACTATGTAACTAATAATTAACATGTCTTATTTGGTTAATTTATTAAAAAAGTAGAGGAAGGAACTAAAATTGAGTAATTTATGCTTAACCTCTCCCCATTCATCCACAATACGAAACAATTTCACATTATATAAAGAAGCACTGATTATCCAGCCAAGAGAGCAGAGGTGCTACAGAGTGTTTTACTACAGGGGGAACGGTGTAAAGTGTATGTGGCAAAAGTCACAAAAACAAACAGAACAGACTGTGGCTTTTGGGATCAAGCCATGCATAGTGATTGTCAGGTGGGTCGACATAGATACTGTGACAGGTAATTAGTTTTGTACCTTGGAAAAATATAAACTACTTGCTCAAGTAGATAACTGCAGGCTTTAGAAAGAAACACGTTTGCCTGCCTGACCTCAAAAGAGGAGAGACAGAAAAAGGGCTTTGCTCTCATAGCTCCCCAAATCCAACTTATTCTGTGGCTAACGTCTACAGGTCAGATCTTTGCGATGGATTTCTGACACTTTTGCTATGTGAGTCTAAAACGTGGAGACATTAATGTCTTTCCAAGACAACTGCTGACAGAAAACCCCAGTAGAGAGACAGCTGTGCCATAAAAATAATGTACCTATAAGCATATGCCTGCCAACATACATTTCTGCCAGCACGCACTCTTAACCCCACAGCGAGCAGCCCGACTGACTGTGCCCTAACCAGACTGCTATTTAGCTCACAGAACGCAGGACACTTTGGCAATGCACACTGTGACAGCAGCATTCCTCAAAAAACGGCAGAAAATTTGGGGTCAGGAAGTAAAAATTCCTTTGATCCTTCTAATAATTCACTCCCTTTTATGTTGGCTTTCAACACTTGTCATCCCCCTGGCTGAAGAACTGATGTAAAAACAGATCTACAGACTCTTTTTGTCTTAGAGACAAGATGCACAAGTCTATTACGGTAAGGAAATTCTGACTTTAGCACACCTAGTCACGCGTGACAAAAAAAAACCCAAACAAACAGTAAGAAGTGGTAATATAGAAAACAAAAATTGCTGTGAACATTCAATGTTCATTCACATTCAACACCCCTGGTCACATAAAACAAGTACTGACTAGTGGGGCTGATTCACAAATACAAAGTCTGGATGACCAGTAACGCTTTCACCTGAAGACTATGTTACTGGAGTCACCATAGGTCTTCACAGAAAACCAAAATATGAGTTGCTTTAACAGATTAAAAATTCAAGGCAACCATGTTCTGGAAGCTGTCGGAGAGGAATGGCTTATTTGCAGAACGTCCAGCTATGGTAGGGTCACTGAACATCTAGATGTGTAAGACCATTAAACATCCACCTGCGTAAGTCCATATTCTTCACAAAGTCTGAGAAGGAAAAACCCAAGTATAAACGCACATAGATATTTAACTCAGTATGCTTCCTGAGCAGTTCTAGGATTATAAATCACACATACTTCCTGTGTCTTCCACTACTTCATTTCCAAGTACAAAGAAAAGGGCATTTTTCTTTCACGGTGGCATAATTAGAGGTGAATCACTGAGGACGTTTCAACAGTACTGACCATGAGCTGCCAGGAAAAACACACGGTGCCCTCTTAAGAATACAAAAAGTTTTTGAAAAGCTCTAAGTAGGTACACTCCATAGGCAATAAACCAGTACTGCTGAAACAACAACTGGTAGTACCCTGGGATTACCTCTACTTTTGCTCGATGGCACCTGACACTTGGATGTAGAATTATCGACCGCACAGAGGAACACATCACTAAACAAACACATGCAGAGGACTCTGCTCCATCCAAATGGGGAAATACAGATCTTGCAGACCACAAGAAACAGACAATTTTTCTCACATGCTTTTATGAAAACAGGAAGGTGGCCAAACTTGATTAAAAGCAGCTCAGCAAGGTCAAGCACAGGCACACAGTGCTGTACTGGCTGAGGTGACCTGCCAATATTCCTGGCTAGCAAGTAAAAGCTTTCCAACACCGTAAACAGCTCAGTGTTTGCTACAGGTTGGAGATACTATAGCAGGGCTGCTCTTGGCAACAATGCCAAAGGTGCTGAGAAAATTAGCACTCACACTAACGGTCCCTTAGCTCACTTCCCCTCCCTCCACCTTAGTGGAAACCACCCCAGGCTCTCCCCGCTCCCCATAGCTTTCTCTGGGAGGCTCTTCCACTGCAACCAACCCGCCTGAGTGGCAGGAAAAGGTATCCCACCACGGCAGGAGAAACAAAAGAAAACCCTTAGCATTCATATGCAGACGTGGTTTGATAAACACTTCTTTGATACCCAATTGAGATGGCACTACAGGACAAAAGGAATACTTATAACATGGTTTACCTTGAAAAGTCTTAAAACCATCTGGCCTCAAGGGATGGGAGCTACATGGACAACATCCACAGGCAGAGCAACAACCCACAGCTGTTAAGTATTTCACTCCAGAGTAATACCACAGTGTAGAAGTGATTTGGTTTTAACTTAACATTTAGATTGAAAAAAACTCAAGCAAGTCACTACATTATTGTTCATATTTTTATTCTTTGAAGTCATGCAGTCACATAGTATTACTAACTTTAAAATAGTTATATAAAGTGCCTGTATGTTACTCCAAATGCTTTGATACTGCTTTCTGCTTCCCACCTCCTCCTTTTTCTGTAGGTAAGGTAATGATTTATGCTGCTACAGGATTCAGGCTGCTTGCCCTACTAAACACATGCATTCGAAAACTGGTCTCTAGGTTGCTGATAACATTGATTTTTTTATTTATCTCAATTCCCACCTACACCTCAGCTCTTTAACAATTAGTTCTTTTGGTTTCCTTCTGTGTAGTTTGCAATCTAAAAACGAGATTTTAACGCTGGTGGACCTGGCAGCAGCATTCAGATATACATAAAAAAAGGCCAAAGCAACATGTCTTCGGAAGCTCACTTTGCTTTCCTTGATGACTTACGCTCCTGCGCCTGTCCTAGCTGGTTTCCAGCCAGCTCCTATTCCTCAGCAGAGAAGCCCTCTCCCAGGAAGCTGGCCTGCCTCACCTGTGGGGTTGGTTTTCTTTATGTCGATTGTCACAACACACTCACGAGTTGCCATAAGACACCAGGCCAGCACATCTTCCCACTCTGCACAGTAAAAGAGCGCAGGTGGCACAAACTCAAGTTTTCTGCTTGTCTCCTTTGTCTTTCGATTGCCTCTGCAGTGACACAAGTTTTTGTCCGCTTAGATAGGCAAAGGAGACACCAGAGCTCTGCTGGCATCTCACAGGCACATCGGCCATGAGCTGCTCCAAGCTCGAGCCGTTTCACAAGACTTGCAAGAACTTTTCTTGGCAAGAAAGTCACCTAATCCCCCCCGTCCATGGAGAAAAAACGAACGGAGAAGGAGAAAAGGGCTTCCCAAACCCAGCCTGGCCCCCGGCAGAACTGCTCCCGCTCCTGCACCGGCCCAGCA